ACGATCTCGGATGATGCATCCTATGGGACGTCATGGTAGTGCGGACTTTTCTATCCAGGGCGTTAAGTTCAGTCTGAGTCCACCTGAGTATGCCAAAGGTATACATGAGGACAGGCATGACCCAGCCGTTATATGCGTGTGCCTTATTCACACCGGACAAAAGGCTGTTAAGCACTTTGGTCAAGCGTGCATAAAACACGTCGCAAACTGACTGTTTCATACCAGTCTCATCGATACCGATGTTTTGTGACATACCCAGGTATCGGTATGTTTCAGCCTCGGAAAGGGTTCTTAAGTTGACGGGCATAGATAATTCTATGCCATCATAGTTAGCAACCCTTCCCCTTTCAATATGGAGGACCGCACACTTATCCGTCCCCAGCTCCATTCCAATAGAATTGCTAAATTCACAAGTGATGTTTAGCAATTCCATAAGATGGGAGCGACTGGAGGCGAATAATTTTAGGTCATCCACATAGAAAAAGGTGGGTCACTTTTGTACCTCCTTTCCGAAGCTGAAATCCTCTCCCAGAGCTAAAGTACTGAGAGGGTTCAGAGAGAGGCAGAACCAGATTGGACTCAGACAATCACCCAGGAATATACCGGGTGCGCGAATAAAAGTATTATTATTATTAATGTGGGGTATCAATATAGTTTTCTCATCTGGTTGGGATGTATAAATATACCAGATGAGAAAACTATATTGATACCCCACATTAATAATAATAATACTTTTATTCGCGCACCCGGTATATTCCTGGGTGATTGTCTGAGTCCAATCTGGTTCTGCCTCTCTCTGAACCCTCTCAGTACTTTAGCTCTGGGAGAGGATTTCAGCTTCGGAAAGGAGGTACAAAAGTGACCCACCTTTTCTATGTGGATGACCTAAAATTATTCGCCTCCAGTCGCTCCCATCTTATGGAATTGCTAAACATCACTTGTGAATTTAGCAATTCCATTGGAATGGAGCTGGGGACGGATAAGTGTGCGGTCCTCCATATTGAAAGGGGAAGGGTTGCTAACTATGATGGCATAGAATTATCTATGCCCGTCAACTTAAGAACCCTTTCCGAGGCTGAAACATACCGATACCTGGGTATGTCACAAAACATCGGTATCGATGAGACTGGTATGAAACAGTCAGTTCGCGACGTGTTTTATGCACGCTTGACCAAAGTGCTTAACAGCTTTTTGTCCGGTGTGAATAAGGCACACGCATATAACGGCTGGGTCATGCCTGTCCTCATGTATACCTTTGGCATACTCAGGTGGACTCAGACTGAACTTAACGCCCTGGATAGAAAAGTCCGCACTACCATGACGTCCCATAGGATGCATCATCCGAGATCGTCGGTAATGAGGCTGTACTTTCCGCGGAAGCATGGTGGTCGTGGCTTGAGCGCGCTCACCATGCATAATCGCGAAGTGTGCAGCCTCCGTGATTACTTCCTGGCGAGATCGGATGATCCATTCTATAAGGACATCATTTCTTGTGATAAAGAACTTACCCCTCTATCCTAAGCCAACGAGAAATGGCAAGACCCAACAGTACAGAGCATTTCCGACCGGGAGACCGTATGGAAGGAGAAGGAGCTCCACGGGAGGTTCTACAAGGCTCTACATGAGCCTTTCATAGACACAGTAGCCTCCGCTCTGAAATACGGTCTCGTATCTCGGAAATTGCCGTATTACAAGTACTTGCCGGAAGCCGTGCTCGAAAATGATCGCGCCAGGCTCTATTGGGACCGGGCCATCATCACAGACAGGACTATTCTTGCGAATAAGCCTGATATTGTGCTAATAGACCGGGCAAAGTTAAAGATATTTTTGATTGACATTACCATTCCGTATGACGAGAACCTCGTGAAAACCGAAAGAGATAAGCAAACAAAATATCTGGACCTGGCTCAAGAGGTGACCGACATGTGGGGTGGTCTGCCAGCCGAAATTATTCCTGTAGTCGTCTCTGCGAACGGGCTAATCCCAGTCAGCCTCTCGGGTCATCTGAGGCGGGTGGGACTACGTGGCGGACCGCTCCAGGCTCAAATGCAGAAGGCGGTGCTCCTCGATACCGCCCGCATCGTCCGCCGGTTTCTTTCCCTTTCTCCCTAATCCTCGGCCGTTTGGTCTCCCCTGCCGAGGGCCTCCATCTGGTTGGGCTTTTATTTATTTATGTATTTTTACATTTATTTTATGTTATTGATATTTATGTATATTTATCTTTTCATCTTCATTTATAATTATATATTTATAGAACCCAACCAGATGAGAAAACTATATTGATACCCCACATTAATAATAATAATACTTTTATTCGCGCACCCGCATCGTCCTGGGCCAGTCTAGCCTAGCCCAGTCTAGTCAGCCTAAGGCATTGACGTGATTACGCCTCAGCATCTCAAAGACCTTGTACGCGTATCTGCCGGTGACGCCGGTAGGGTACTTCTTAATGACATAAAAAAATTATTTAATTTTATGCTTTCTGGTAATATCAATCCCAATTTCATTCCCTACTTATATGGGGCAATATTGTGTGCCTTCAAAAAAAAGGATAACGGTATCTGTCCTATTGCTGTTGGTTCTACATTTCGACGCTTAACTTCAAAATTAGCTTGCAGGCACATAATCTCAAACCTTAAGACAAAATTTCAACCTACTCAACTAGGCTTTGGCACCAAAGGGGGCTGTGAGGCGGCGGTACATTCGGTGCGTACTTTCTTAACTAATTCCAATGCAGATGTTCTTCTGAAGGTTGATCTTAGAAATGCTTTTAACTCTATTGATAGGATAACCCTGCTGAAAGAAGTGGCTAACAATACCCCCGAAATATATCATTACGTTTGGCAATGTTACAGTGAAAATTCGAACTTGTATTATCAAAACCATAATATTATTGAGTCTGCTGTAGGTGTTCAGCAGGGTGATCCATTAGGTCCAGCTCTTTTCAGTTTGGGAATTCAACCTATTATTTCAAATTTAAAATCTAAGCTGAATGTCTGGAATCTGGACGACGGTACACTGGCAGGTAAAGCAGAAGACGTCCTCAATGATCTTACTCATATGTTTCAAAATTTTAAAAATATTGGTCTTGAACCAAATACAAATAAATGTGAAATATTTATTTCTAATAATTTATCTAATTCTAATAGAGGTACCTTAATTTAAAATTTCAATCAGATTTCTCCAGGAATAAAAAAAATACGTGTGGCACTCGGTGACTGCAGCGGTAAAGCTATTGCATAACATTTTTATCAACTTATGCAATTATAGTTATTTATTTATTTTATTTATGCAGTTAAGTCTTTGATATTAAATCAAGTTACACTTTTTGAGCGTGGTGACCGATAAGAAAACAATTTTTTTCTCTTATTGAATAAATGAGAAGTTAATATTGTTTAAAATATTTTTAATATCTTACAATACATGTAGGTTATTCAGGATTTTTTTATCATTGAGTTAGCAGCTAGTGTACACGCATACGTCTAGTCGCACGCACACAAACACCGTGCCGAAGTCTGCCGAGTGCCGAAGTGTGCCGAACTGAAGCGACGTTAGACGATGCACGGCTTTCAACGCCACACCTCCGTGCCCGTCGGAGTGGAGACCGTGAGGTTTTTTTTCGTTACGGAATTTCTGGATTCGGTCCCCGCGCTCAAGGCCCGCGATAGAAGCTATGCAATAGCTTAAAAATATATCGCCTGGAGTTACTGTGACCGACGCTAGGTGGTTAAGAGTTAATGATACTTAGATTACATAAATAATACATACATAAATACATGTGGGTCACTTTTGTACCTCCTTTCCGAAGCTGAAATCCTCTCCCAGAGCTAAAGTACTGAGAGGGTTCAGAGAGAGGCAGAACCAGATTGGACTCAGACAATCACCCAGGAATATACCGCTTTTTATACTTATGTGGTTCTCCGCAGCCATCATCCGCTCGCCCAAATGACAAAGGATCGTACTCCACTGCCCTATACACTGCCCGAGGAAGACTCGAACTGTACAGTCAATCTTGTACAGCTCGAGGATCCTCTTTAGCCATGTATGGGGCACCGAGTCAAATGCCTTTCTGTAGTCTATCCAGGTGGCGGAGAAGTTCCGACGGTTGCGTTTCACCACTTTGCCAATGACCGCGTCAATGAGGAGTAGTTCCTTGGTTCCACGACCGTCGCCCCGACATCCATTCCAGGTGATGTCACGCGCTCAAGCGTGACATCACCTGATTATAGCATAAGTGACGAGTGATTCTCGCGCACAAAATGGATGTTAGTGTCTTGTATATGGTCGGTAGACACGTGATGATGATACCGCCCGTATTTGCTCGGGTCTGTGGTACCCTGGCCTTTAGGAACCACATAAGTGATCCCAGTAGTAAAGAGGCTTGGGAGCCACTTCTGGTTGAGAGCCTCTTGAAACTGTCGGGCGAGCACAGCGTGACACACCATGAACCCCTTCAGCCAGTAGTGATGCAGCTCGTCAAGCCCCGGACTTTTCCAGTTCGGGGCCCTACGGACCTCCTCAGCTACGTCATCCGGCGTTATGATGACGGGGTCCATTTGCGTTATACCCGCACACTGACTCGCCACAACTTCCGTCCAAGGGCCCCCACTGTGGTTTACGGGCTCTGACCACAGGCTGCGCTAGAATGCGACCGTGTCTGCCTGATTCGGTGCTGGGCCCGTTCCACTTACCATTGGTCGCTCCAATGATTTATAAAGCCTCTTCTAATCACTCTGGAAGAGACGATTCTGGTTGAACCGTGTCGACCTCTCGGTATATCGCCGAATCCGCTTTCCCCAAGCAGCGATTCTCTGCTTCAGTTCGTCCGTGCGCTCCGTCAGTTTTTGCATTATATCTGGCTGGGACAAACTAACATTTGTCCTAGCAAACGCCATCCTGACGGTGTGCACAATCCTTGGCCTGATATTGACTGACCTGAAGCATATCAGTCTGCCGATTAGGGTCCTAACCTTTGCGATACGTTCTTCAATTCTTATTCTCTAGGCTGGGATAGCACTACTTTGTCCAGTAGCGCGTCCAGCCGTGGAGAGTTTGGCGCCTATAATACGGCAGACTGCCAGTGCGGCGCCAAAAATAATTGAGTCCGTCTCGCGTAGGTCCCGGCTGGCTTCTAAATAGGTCACCAGCATTGGGTTCAGAACCCTCACGACAGCCCGATTCCGCTTGCTTAGGGCTATGCGGGGAAGTCGCGTTCGATTTTCGAGAGGCGTACTGCGCGTTTCCACAATCGCCTCTTCCAATGTACTCCTCATTTGCTCTAGTTCTTGGGAGACCATTTCATCATCGTCCGAATCAACCATAACAGGATGATCCTTGGCGGCTTCCACGCGTGGATGATGTTCTGTCGGCTGAGGAGCCGCATCCCCAGCCATAGCGTGTGTTGTGTTGTGTGAGTGCGTTTGTATTCATTTTGATTGTCCATCGCATGTGGCGTACTCCACCAGTGGCGGGTGCCGATTGCTGGGCCCGCGAAGACCCTGCCGACACCAAGCCAGATGGTTGGGATGGTGGATGCGAGGGGCTGATTGGTGGTCGTGCATCACCTCTCGTTCGGCTGGCGATTCGCATGCTGTCGCGTCCAGCGCCAGCTCCAGACGCGCCCTGGCGACCTCCAGGCAGCGGCCCTTTGCGCGTTCTTCCTTATTCCATCATCCATATAAGTGGGCGCCAACGCGTTTAACGGGAGACGCCCAGACCCGGCGCCGTTTCATGTTGGGGCCATGTGCACAAGCGGGCCTTTGCACCTTCATTTTTTGCCGAGGCGTGGCACTTACACCTCTTGGCAAGGTGTTGACTGACTGCGCTGACGTAGCGGTTTTGTCACATAACTGTTACGTCAGCGGGCGATGGGGTCGTCACTTCCCTACGCCTTTTTATTTATTTTTTTCGTTTTCAATTTAAAAAAAAAAACAATATTAACAATGCTAACATTACTAATATTCCCCTTAACCACTCGTGGTAAGCTTAAATTGCTTGTGTTACGAGTGGTTCACGCCAGTAGTCGAATGGCGGATTCGAACCCACGACCTTTTGAGTTCGTGGTCCGCGCCCTGCCATTAGGCTACTGTCGCTTATGATTATTATTATACCAAAATTAAAACTAAGATATTTACTACGAAAATAAATGATCTGGGAAAAATTTTATTAATATTTTATATACAAATACAAGACCCTTTTTTTCCAAAATTTAATTACATTTAGTTATAATATATATTATATTTTCTGATAGCATATAACAAGTTATCGAAACTTGTTACCATCTTATATGTGACATAATCTCGATTCTGTAGAAATCTTAAAAATTTTATTAAAAAAATTGCGTCAAGTAGTTTTGACAGTCCTCTTCTGAAGTTAGTCTAACACTATCCAAATAATTCTGAATAGATTGAAACAAATGAAAAACTGAGGGTTCATGGTCGGGACCAAGCTCTCTCAATTCTTGCTGAGTGGCCAAATATGTGATTGGTCTGGCGTTATCATGATGAAAGACCACACCTTTGCTGTTGATCAATTCCGACCGTTTTTTAATTTCTTGCTTGAGTTTCATTAGTGGTTGGCAGTAGAGATTCCAATCGATGTTTTTTCCCGGCGCTAAAATCTCATAATAAACGATGCTCTTCCAATCCCACCATACACACATCTTCACCATAAAGCGTGTTAATCCGGGTTTTGGTCAGTCTGTGGAGCTTAACTACCCTTTGACCATGATCTCTTTCGCACGTTCTTGTCATATGTAATTCACTTTTCATCACGAGTGTTAATTTTTTTCAAAAATGGTTCGGTTTCATTACGTTTTAACAGATAATCGGAAATGAGTACACGATTCGTTAGGTTTCTTTCAGTGAGCTCGTGTGGTACCCAAATACCGAGCTTTTTGTATATATATAGACTTTTTCAAATGGGTCAAAACTATTATTTTTAAGTTCTCAATTCCTAGGCTATGTCGTAACTACTTATATGCCGATATTGATTTGCTATTTTTATTAAAATAGCAGCGACTTTATCCTTATGTGGGCGACCAGAGCGAGCTACATCTTTGACATCAAAATTCCCGGACTGAAAACGCTTAAACCAACTTTGTGCTACTCTTATTGATACTGAATTAGGTCCAAAATTGTAGCAATTTTTTTTACCGGCTTAAGCCGCATTTTTTTTTTTTTTTTTTTTTTTTTTTTTTTAATAAAACATTGAGCTATTATTTACAACGTACTAGAGTCGATACTACATTAAGCTACTCTGTTCCATTCAACTGCGGTGCTTACACCGCACTTCAGTCACCCGCTTGGCGCTTGTAGGATTGTCACGTGTTGTGTCGATTTAAAAAAAATCTCTTGATAAAAATATTCCGTCGTGTGTATTTAGATATTGCACAAATAATTAAAGAAATGTCAGTTAAAACCAAGGAATTACTTTTCATTGGTTAATAAGATACTTAATCAATAAAAAAGTATTAAAGATTAATAATAAAAAAAAAATATTCCTAAGACGCCATCTCGTGTCATGGAATATAGATTATGAAATTAATTTGTTCAGATGCGACATTTCTGTGGGTACATAAGTATAGGACGAATATATTATTATACACATATTTTTGTAGAAACATATAAAAGTATCATAATTAGGCATTTTTATATATAAATACTTATATATATATATATATATATATATATATATATATATATATATATATATATATATATATATATATAGAGTATTAGGTCATTGAGATGTATAAAGATGACAGCCAATCAAAGTTTATTGCTGATATTAGACCTCTCCATAGATAGCTTCATATGTGAAATTTTGCCATAGTTGACAGCCGATTTGGTAACCGCAGTTTTTTTAATAATTTATTGTTGATAACAAGATACTGTTACCTATTTTTGTTTCATTTTCCTCAGTCGCCCTTTACGGCACTCACGGGAAGATAGAGGGTTGTAGACCGTAACCAGTGATATACCGTGATAAAAATTCTTGCTATTTATACGCATGTCAAATTTTTTATTATTATGTCATGACGTCCATCATCAAAAACCCAATATTATATCATTTTAAAAACAACCTCGTGATTTATTTTTAACAATCATATATTATAACATAAACTCTCACTGCTGTTATTTAGAGTGGTAAGTAGGCTCTATGGATTTCCATTTATTACAATCTAGAGATAACTCTTTTAAATGTATGTCATGCATATATCTACGCGTACGTGCTCGTCAGTTAAGGGTAATCTTAAGGTTGTCCATCTTCAACTCTCTGCTATTCAATTTTGCAGCATCTGTTACATGTTTCAAAAAAGGAATTTTTGAATTAGTTACCGAAATTTTACGTGACAAAGCCGCGTGGCCCTGTGAATTATGGGTTTAACACGAATTTGTTCTCACAACCGGGTAAATACCGCGCTCTCGGAGAATATCAGCGTATAATAGAAGCTTAACAGTGCTGACGTAATCATCATACACAGTAACGAGTAAATAATGAGACGATGATCAATAACACTTGGCTCGACCAACAACTCTTACGATCTACAAAAAAAAAACCATTGAATGCATACATGCGATAAATTTTCAGGTCTCCAACGTCGCACTCAGATCAGAAACAATAGTGTAGACTTTTTCTACAAATATTTTTTCTGCGTCTGACTGTTTGTCCTCCTGTATGTAACCTCCTCTACCATACAGAATAAAATCCCAATATCATCATCATCATCATTACAGCCATCCACAAGTCCACTGCTGAACGTAGGCCTCCCCCAAGCAATGCCACAAAGCACGATCCTTAGCCACCTGCATCCATCGACTTCCTGCATGTCTTACCAGGTCGTCACTCTATCTAGTGGGGGGTCGCCCTACACTACGCCTACCGGTACGAGGCTGCCACTCGAGAACCTTTCTTCCCCATCGGTTATCGGTTCTTCGAGCTATATGGCCGGCCCATTGCCACTTAAGCTTACTAATCCGTTGGGCTATGTCGGTAACTCTGGTTTTACTGCGGATATCCTCATTTCTATTCTTTCCAGTTCTTTACTTTACTTTAGGGCCTATATACGTCCCACTGCTGGGCTCAGGCCTCCCCTCATTTCTGAGAGGGTTTAGGGCAAGAAAGTGTCCGCCGCGCTGCCCAAATGCGTGTTGACGAACTTCACATGTCTTCGAAATATTTTTTTTCTTATTCCTCAGACATGCAGGTTTCCTCACGATGTTTTCCTTCACCGTCGAGCACGTGGTAAATCAGCACTTAAAATTGCAATTAACAATTTCATTGGTGCCGGCGGGGATCGAACCCGGGTTACTCGTATTCTGTTATATTTACAGCGAGCGTTAACCACTGAGCTACCACGGCTCTTTCCAGTTCAGTAGCTTGAAAACGTCTTCCAACGCAGTGGTGAAGAGTTTCGGGGATATTACGTCACCCTGTCTTACACCTCTCTGCAGTTGGATAGGTTTCGAACTCTGGTTCTGTACTCGGATAGCCATCGTAGCCCTACTGTACAAACACTTCAGCACTTCGATATACCGACAGTCAACTTGGCACCGCTGAAGGGACTGTAGCACAGCCCAAATTTCGACGGAATCAAAGGCTTTCTCATAGTCCACATACGCCAGGCAAAGTGGCAGATTTTACTCTTCGGTCTTCTGTACAATATACCGCAGGGTATGTATGTAGTCTATGGTACTGAAGCCTTTTCGGAAACCGGCTTATTCGGGAGGCTGGAAGTCGTCGAGTCTGCGTGCGGAGACGATTCGTAATGACTCCCGAAAACAGCACGTAGACGCGGCTCAGAAGGGAAATCGGTCTGTAGTTCTTCAAGAGATCGTTGTCGCCTTTCTTAAAGAACAAGACCACAGCACTTCTGCTTCACGCAATCAATCAATCCCAGTATAACCTTTTTAAAGTCATAACAATTTTGGTTAAGATTATAGGTCGTGCACAGAATGTAAGCATGATCATTGTATGTTTATTTCGTTAATAATTTAATCACAATATGCAAACGAAAAATAAACGTGTCACGCTACATTTAAACATTTCGCAACATTCCGCCTGACCCTTTTTCTGGCTCATTTCATTGACAAAGTGATATACTATTCCCTTCCTTCGCGGAAACAAGTATTAAATCGTGTTACCAATGCTGGGGCTCGCGTAACGGCATATATTCAATTTATTCGCAAGTTGGATATACCTATTTATTAGTAACTTTTACTTTCGATCACGATAATTCTAGTAAACAGTAGTGGATTTTGACGTTTGTCGTTCTGGGTATAGGTATGGGTCTGGTACTAATAGTCGCTTCTTACTGCATTCATGGGGCTAAATAAGGTGATATGCTCTAATACACCATCACCACATGGTGTTTTTAGCTTTTTTATAGAAT